GTTGGTATTCTAAATCATTTAAATTAATATTAAGTTGTTGATTTTGAAGATTTAATTCTTTATTTTCTAATTCTAATAAGCTAGAATTTTTTTCATAGTTTTGATATTCTAATAATTTTCTTCATAAGTCTTCAATATCATTTTTAAGATTATTATTTTCTTCTTCACTTAAGGGTAGAGGGTATGTAGATCATTTCTATTAATAGATAAGTGACCAAAAATATTTTTACTGCAGATTAAAAAGTTGCTACATATAAAAGTTAATTTTTTACTATGTAAATCATATTTATATACTAAGTAGAATTGTTCACAATAAAAAATTACACATATTCTAAAAATTTTATTAATTTTGAATAAAATTTGATAAAGTTTGCATAGTAACAACTTTTGCGGGAGACAGGGTCTATTTTGTGGGGATGATCACAAATTGGCCAATCAAATCACGTGATAATAATAAATAAAATGAGGTTATGAAGATAAAAACAACTATATCTCGTGATTGATTGAACCAATTTTAATGATTCGACCACCGTTAGAATCAGAAAACTCTTCTCTACAATTTTATTAAAAAATTTAAAATGGTTGCTTAATAAAAATTTTCTTTATTATTAAATATAAAATTTTTAGCAACTAGTTTATTAATAGAAATGATCTACATACCCTCTACCCTTAATCCTTCAATATCATTTTTAAGATTATTGTTTTCATTAGTTATTTCATTTATTTTATTTGATATCGCAGAAGATGACATTATTTTTATTAATAGAGAATAAATACAATATTTATAAGAAAATTAAAAATAAAATTTATAAAAGAAAACAGATAAATTAGAAAATCTAATAATAGAACTAATAACGCCACTCATGATTTTATCAAAATTATATAAAATTTTTTCTCTTATATCATCAGAAATATAATTAATAAATTGTTCACCATATTGTTTAATAAGTTTTTGTATTTTATCTACTAAATCCTTTACTTGAACATCTGTAAGTTTATTGATAATTTCTCTCATTTTATCATATGCTGTTGATTGTTTTTTTAAGTTTAATTTATCACATATAGTATCTTTAGGTAAAGGATTTTTAATATGATCTTTAAATGAATTTCTATTTCTGATTCTTTAAATTCATCTTTACAAATAGGACAACTAATTAAATTATCGAATTGTTCTAGTTTAGGAATTGTTGTAGTTGTTTTTAAAACTGTTTTTGGTGTTGTTTGTAAAACAGTGGTAGTTTTTGTTGTTTTTGTTGTTGTAATATCGATATTAGTATATGGTTTTGAAAAAGTAATAGTTGTAGTTGTTGTTGGTAAAGAGGTTGTAGGTGTTGGTATAGTAATAGTTGTAGTTGTTGGTAAATTTGTTGTTGTTGGTGCTAAAATAGTTGTAGTTGGAGTAGGTGTATTACTATCCTCAAGAGGTTGAGTAGGTGTAGGTTGTGTTAGTTTATTTGTATCAGTTCTAATATTAGTTTAATAATATTATATATTATATATATATTTTAAAATAAACTTACTTTTTATCTTTATTTTGTTTTTCTCCATCATTTTCATCAAATTTTCGTTTTAAATCTCCAATTTCTTCAACTATATCTCTAATTGCTAAAGCATTATTTGTTCCAAGATCAATAAATCGATATGCTTGAATAAAATCTAATATCACAGCACAAGGTCCTCTTAAAAACCCTTTATCTCTAGTTGGGTTAAATTTGGGTCCAAGAAGATATCTTTTATCTTCATGTCAATCAGTCATATATTTTAAATGTCGCAATAGTTCATTAATATCATTCACAACAACAATCCAGAAAAATTCAGTATTAAATTGAACAAATGTTGGTTTGTTATTTGTATTATCATTATTAAAAGCTATAATACACCAATTTTTTTCAATGCGCCAATTAAAACATATAGTTGTTTCATAATCACATTTGGAGCATTCAATATTTTGTATTTTTTCATATACTATGTTAAAATTTCTTTTTACATGACTATCAACGAGATTGCTCAAGTTTTCAAATACTGCTGATGATGGTAAGCTAGCATTTTGTCCAATACCTCCATCTTGAGTTAATTGACAAGTATTATCTTGCTTAAGTATTAATAATCTAACTCTAAATGATTTTCTAATTAGATTA